CTTGACATTTGGCGATAATCTGAGTCGCACAAACGTAATATGGAAAAAAAATCGGTACGTCATTTCAGAAAAAGTTCGATTTTGTGACAGAATACCTATGTTGGAAAAATTTTACATATATAAGTCTTACAGGTATCATAAGTAGAGCTTTCGTGACATGAAAAACACAAGTTAGTCAATCCGCCCAGTAGAACGTAAGATTTAGAAGTGCCCCCTTTTTTTACAGAGTGCATTTATCCTGTTTAATGTAAAATAATAATAGACGTATTGATATTCGCAAAATAATAGGGCAGCACTTAAATCTGATTTAGCATCATAGAAAATAAAAAAGGAGATACTCTTTACAGGTTACGAAAATCTCAAAGAGAATAGTTTAACTTCACAATGTTTTCAGCTTGAATATTCAAACAAATTTTCATCAAAATTGTAAGTTATATTATATTTTCTCTTACTTTGCAATAAAAGAAATTTCTAGCTATCCTTAATAGAAGTCTGCTCTATACTATTTTATGGATCAATTATATTTCTTAAAGATCGAATTCGTTTATAATACCATAATTATTCGTTCACATTTAAATTACTACTTAACTTATTTTCTACTTAAATATGATCCACTTATACAGGATGATTTAAAGGATAACAAATAATAAAAAAATCTGATGTGTACAGCACATGACTTTCTTGTACGGAATATTAAATTATAGGCATTTTTTCTTACATTTCATTTAAACTTATTGGATTGAATTAAATCTACTTCGTCGACAGCGCAAAAACCACAATAAAATAAATGCACTCTTTAAAATTCACTTTATTTGTTTACCATAGCGACACTCTGGTGCTAGGTTCACTTAACAGTATTATATTTCGTTCATATTATAACTCAGAATGCACAAAATTTATATCATTTAAAGAATTATTTAATCGTTGCCACATATTCTATTCAAATACTATAATAAAGCTAGAATCATGTATAAAATAAATTAAGCAAACAAAACAAAAAAGAAACAATTTTTCACACACGATTGAGTATTTCTCATTCAATTAATTCAATTCTCACTTCGCGATAAGGCAAAAATGCCTAAAAACTCAAAACATCCGTATTAAAAATTACGAAGTAAATCTTAAACACTTATTTCCTCGAAAAAATTCCAGAAAGGATTAAGCATGATTTAATTCGCAATAATAAATGAAGTTGTTATCTTTGTTCTTGCGGAAGCTTGCTTTCTCTAGATTGGCAACAATATCCACTATTTCTACTTGTTTCAAATGTAAACAAGCAATGGCCGCCATGGCAAAAAGCATTATTAGGCTTAGCGGCACATTAAACAACTTTTAAAATTTTTTGATAATCCTAAAAATATTGCATACAGATTTACTAAAGGCATAAGAACCTTAGTCGGAAGATAAGAACAACAGAATTCAATGATTTTTAAAGCAAAAAATGTACAATTTATAAACATATAAGAGTAAAGAAACTGAAATCACTGAGCCGGGTAACAGAGTGGATAATATATATATAAATATATTTATGTATGTTTGGTACGGCCGATTGCAACCAACATACGAGATGCACATCTACTGTTATAGCAGTCCTATATACAAAATTTCAACGTTCTGAGACTATTCTGAGTTATGCGAGATACGTACGTACATACGTTCGTACAGACGCCACGAAAAATTCTCTTTAGTACTCATTTTAAAGCAGTTTTATAATTTTTTGGATGAAAAGAGTTTTTTATTCTGTTCTTACGTACAGATGTCACGCAAAAACATCGTTAAATTTCATTCGATAGCAGCCAAAATGGATATTATTTCGTTGAAATATGCTGCCTGAAACTTTCGCGATTACAATACTTCCTTTTTACTTCGTACAAGGAAGCAAAAATCTGTATTACTAATACTACTAATAAGAACAGCTTTTCTACCGCTAATAGAAATAATGATAATAGTACCAATAACATTTAATTTAAAGGATCATAATTTTAATTGAACTGAGAGCTGAATAGCATAACAAATGAAGGCTGAACAGCTGAATAATCGACTGAAATAAGGATTTCCATTTAATCAGCTATATTTAAGTAAAGTATGCTACCTTATCGATGCTCATCATTTTCATTTATATATATTTCAAATGCGTAAAAGACTTTTTCAATTAAGTAAAAAGCATCGGAATATTCTGTAATGGGCTTGAGATAATTAACGAAAACATCTGAACACATCAAAAAGATATATAAATATCAAACAAAATAACAAATGCATTTAAATACTACCGAAGACAGTAACTTCCTAAAATCACTGAGGTTTGTTTATTAACAACGCTGAAGCTTGAATTTAAGAAATTAATTTATTAATCTAAAATTAATAATTAGATCCTAATATTGATAATTAGATCCTAATTATGATTTACATAGCATTGACGGAGCTTACGAACGCACTTAAAGCTTAAAAAAAGTTGTAAAACTCTTTACTAGATTGCCCTTTTAAGTGGTGGGCAAAAACTAATTTTTTTCCCTTTTCTTTGAAATTTCTTTTCTGGAACACAAAAGAAAGCAAATGCAATGAAAAGAAGACAAGTTTAATAGGCTAAGTTCAAAACAAAGAGAAGCAGGTCTTCAAAGAACGAAGAAAGAAAACTTCAAACAAAAGAAGTGGTTAGCAAAAGCATAATAAGCCACATAGGATCTCCTGTAAAAAGTGAAATAATGTCAATGAAAAAAAAGAACTTAAGAAACTCCAGTAAACAACTTTCGTGTGTACATGAAGGAAAAACCACACCCATAAAAGTGGTGTAACTGTTAAATTGTAACAAATTAAACTTTTCCCACTTCTAACTGAAGAAGAATTTCTAATTGCATGCTTTGAGTTTTGAATCGATTTTGTAATCGATAAACGAAAATGCGGGTTAAATATTTTAATTCGTTTTGTTATTTTTAAACAAAAAAGTCACTTTGTTTCCATGAAGTGTTAAGAAATGAAAGAAAACCATTTATTTATCAGAAATAATTTCTTCATAAACAATCGTACCCACCTAGATAATACACGAATGCAAATACGTTTTTTCGACATTGAAGCTTTAAAGATTTTTTTCTTTATTCATTATTTTTCAAACTAACATTTTAAACTCGCTACATTAAATATTTCAAAGCATTGAAAAAAATCACCATTTGCTTAAAACGAAAATTTGTTGCCTTTTTAAACAAAATGTCTATGCGGACAAATGTCATATTTAAATGTATGTCTTATGCGGTGTCCGCCGATAACATCGCGGCAAAAACATCGCGGACGAAAACGTCGCAGAGAAAACAACGCAAGGCGAAAACGTCGTGCTACAAAACATCGTGGGAGAACACATCGCAAGGAGAAAACATCGCAGTTCTAAAACATCGTGGTACAAAACATCGTCGTCGAAAATAAAGCGGTTCATAAACTTCGCAGTTTAAAAACATCGTCGTCGAAAATATCGTGGTAAAAAATAAAGTATCTACAAATCATCGCATGACGATAACATCGCAGACATGCTTTTTTCAGGCTTTAATAACTGTAAATGGATATTCCCATTGATTTGTGAGCGCAAGATGAAAGAAGGATAATTTTTTCTTTCATATTTTTTTATTAAATATTAAATTTTTGCTGAAAATAAGAAAGAAACTTAAACATAGAAAACTAAATGCAACTTATAGCACTTAATAGAATTTTAAATCGACATAGTTAACTAAGAAAGACCATTAATAAATAATTTTTATAAAGATTTTACAGGTAATTTTTTCATAAAAAGTATAATCTATTAAGTTGCATTTAATTTTCTATGCTTAAGTTTCCTTCTTATTTTTTTCAGCAAAAATTTATTAGTTAATAAAAAAATGTGAAAGTAAAAATTATCCTTTCTTACATCACACTTGCGCTCACAAATCATTATGGGAATATCCATTTACAGTTATTAAAGCCTGAAAAAAAGCATGTCTGCGATGTTATCGTCATGCGATGATTTGTAGATACTTTATTTTTTACCACGATATTTTCGACGGCGATGTTTTTAAACTGTGAAGTTTTTGAACCGCTTTATTTTCGACGACGATGTTTTGTACCACGATGTTTTAGAACTGCGATGTTTTCTCTTTGCGACGTTTTCTCCCACGATGTTTTGTAGCACGACGTTTTCGCCTTGCGTTGTTTTCTCCGCGACGTTTTCGTCCGCGATGTTTTCGGCTGTAACCGTCTTACGTAATCTTTTTATTTTAAAACGAAGAAACATTGGTACATTGAAACGGAATCTATAATCAGACTCGAGTTTACTTACCCGTTGAAGAATTGATGTTGTAACTGTATATGACTGACGGCGCTGGATATAAAAATAAAAAGAAAATATACACTGAAGAGTCATTAGGGTTGGTTTTTTGGTGTAGGAGACGTGAAAAATGCACAGTGCCCTTGCCGGGAATCAAACCCTGGACCTCTCGAATACGCGCCGAGTGTGCTACCGTTACGCCATAAATGCATGCCGGAAAGAGGGAGAAAATACCCTATATACTCCTCCTTTTAAAAGGCGACTGGAGATTAGGGGACTCAGTCGCTAAATCCTGATGGAGACGAATTAGTGTTCACTGCATTTTAATTCGGGTGCCACTGAAGAATAATTAGGGTTTTTTTTGAAGCAGAAGACGTAAAAGTATGCAATGCCTTCGCCAGGACTCGAACCTGGACATCTTGAATACGCTCTGAGTGTACTGCCAATTACACCACGAAGGCATGCCAAAGGGAGGGAGAAAATACACTATAAAATAGTTTGGAAATTAATTTTATGAAGTCACGAATGATTAAATTAAAAAACCCTCATTTTTAGATGCAATATAAAATTACTAAAACGCTGTAATCGTTTTTGCTTGCATGAAACCCAAGAAATCCTTTAAATACATTAATATCAAGTGAGTTCATTATAGTACATGAAAACATAAAAATTTCAGGATTTCAATTGAAAAGCTTTTTAAGGCACAAATACTTACTTTGGGGTAGCGAAGAGATTTTAGCTGAGCGATGACATTATTGCTGTCGTTATGACTGCCATACCAGTTGTAATAGTAAGTGCCTATTTTGCTGTCATTGAAAGTGGCGAAGCACAGAAAATTTCCATCTGGTGACCACCACAGAGCTTTATTGGATTTTAAAATGATCTCTGAAAAATAGAGTGATTACATTAAGTTTCAAACAAAATACACTTAGAACACACTTAATAGATACTGTATGAGGCTCTGCGGCCATTTTAATAGACATTTTAAACAAAGCACTGGAAAGAATTAACATTGTTAAATAAAATATGATATCAGGCTAATTAGCAATTAAATTTCAAAGCAGTTAAAATTAAGCTGCTGTTATCATTTGCCTTGGCTAATTCACATAGATGGATATTGATGATATGAGTTCTGTTTGGAGAAGCATATTATTAATCTATATCAGGAACTAATTAAATCAGCGATTGATCTAATAGTTGGAATATGCCCGATCCAGAATAAGACGTAGCGATGTAATTTATAGCCACACACCAATCAACTTTAATGAATAAGACCAAGGACTCAGTTTGGATAAGGAAGCAGGAGCAGGTGAATGGATGAATGATTGAACATAAAGGAAACTGGATCATCGGGAGATGAATGATATTAAAGCCATGCTTAGCTAGCTAGCGATATCACCGCATTTATACCAGTATAGATAAGCTTTCTGAAAATTTTCGTCAGTTTGACAAACAAAAATTGCTAATATTTGACAGCAAGAAATTAAATTTCTAATTGTAACCGAGGCAGAGAAAGCTATGACAAAACTCAGATTAAAAATGTAAGTATCATTCCAGTTATTACTGGAACGAGGAACTTTAAGCAAAAAACTAATCAAGAACGTAATTTATTTAATTTGGTAAATAAAACACTTTTGAATCTTTTGCTCGATAAATTGGAATTTTGAGTCATTGATGTTTTTGAGATTTTATGTTAGGTCTTAGGTGAAGGGTTACGGATATATTACTGGCTAGACGCTTTTTATAATGATCTTCCTTACTTCGGTAGCTCGACACTTGCCATACTCAGGTAACATAAACGTTTGTGGTTTTAAAAGCTGCAGTAAGCTTACGTATTTTAGATGAAAGAAATTTAATTTGAAATACTTTTTCCTCACTATATGGCGCAAGGGATTTCAATAGTCAGAGAAAAATTTTAATCTTGATTTGGGCATGCTTGCCGTATTTGTCAGTTAGTTAAGACTTCAGCTGTATTCTTAAACGTTTTCCCCGGGGGTTGACTGGAGGACAACCAGCGGCGGTCTGGCTAATATCTGTACTTAACCCTTTCCTCACCTGTCCGCAAAGATTTCCCCCCCCCAGCGGCCGCCTGTTTTTCGTAGCGTGTAATGTTGTTTCCTGTGTACATCAGAACTTTCCATACATGACTTTCGTAGTGGATGATGTCAATGAATATTAAGTAAAATTATAAGGAAATAAAGAATAATGAAAATAAAATATCTCTACTTATTTCTACAGCAAAATATTTGACAGCTATCCAGGCGGTCCACTCCTCTCATTTTGTTGTAATCTTTTACAATTATTGGTTTTTTTACAGTTCGTTTCCGTGTTCCAGCATCAATTATCGAGTTATTATGGACTATACTCATCAACCGTATATTCTTCTTGACTTTCCAATTCACAACCTCATTTTTTTTTCTTTTTCTACTGAGTAGACGTTGAAGCCATCTCTCACTGTAGAAGAACGCTTGATGCACGTTATGGCCGCCCTGCAGAAGTTTCACTTGAACGCGCTAGACGCGTTACGGACGACGAAGAGGTTAAATAAACTTAGGTCCTGGGGCAAAAGGATTGTCTTTAGAGGACTAGTGCCACCAACGATTCGGTGGTTGGTTAGGCTTGTCTGGGGCCATACGGCGCTGTTAAGTCTCTCTCGGTCTGGTGATCATTACATATGTGATACTGTTCGTTAGTCAAGCTCAGGGGTCTGGCACTGTCATACGTTATCTTTCTTTATTCGGTGACCAGTTGGTACCTGGTCGTATTGTCTTGCGCTCATTTATCAGACCGTTTTTATTGTCTCCCGAGGTTGACTACTGAAGGCTTGTGCTCCCATGGATCGCCTATATACATTGAGGCTTCGCTCCATATTAGGAGCTATTCTACAGCCTAGGTCAGGAAGTTTCTATTTTTTAGTGCACTGTATTCTTAACCTTGTATATATTTATACTTTGCAAAGTTTTACTGCATTAAGATGCTTTCATGAAAAGAAAGTATTAATTCACTATGTATGCATGAGAAATACATAACAAACACAAAAATATGATTCGAGATCGTAGGATGAAGAAAATAATGAAGACGTATTTAAGAATTTCTTCCGTATTCCGCAGTTAGGCAAAGAACTTCCACGATTAAGAAAGAAAGCTTCGCCAAAGCACGAGGGGCTCCGTTAGACGACAGTACAGGGGATGTCGATCCTTTTGCGCATATTCGAAATAACTGTCGAGTTGTAGTCAAAAGTCACGTTTGTCAAGAGTTCAAACTTAGCGAAATCCGAGTTTAAATTAACTCGAAATGTTTTGTCATAGAACGAATTCTCTAAGCTCTTTTGTTTAGTACCGTCAATTTCCTTCAAATCTGGCTATTTGCTGAGGAGAATTTATCCCTGCACGATTTAATGGCGTAGTAATCAAACTGGTTTACATTAAATCCATGAAAGTTTTCTTTCGTTCCATATACGTTCATTGATTAGGTTTAGTTAAAAGAACGATGGCTGTGAAACAAGAAAAGGTCAAATGTTTTTCTTATGTTTCAGACAAAATTCATAATATTTTTTTTGTCATTGTTTCAGTGGTTGCTGACACAAATTTATCAACAGTAGTTAACTGATTACTTCGGAGTTACGTTTAACTTGATCCAATGCCTTTGTTTCAATTTGTACTAGCACCGAAGTGTGTTTATGCATTAAACTAACATAGTCTGCTTGCCTATGAGTGATAAGTCAGTCAAGTTAAGAAAGTCTACGCACTTTTACATGTATTTTCACATATATTATTACAGGTTCATTATTAAAGTTAGTGTTACACTTGTTAGTTCAAAAGTTGTCAAAAGTTAAAACTAGTAATTTTTCATATTCCATAAATTAAAAATGGTTCAAGAAGTAGGTAGGACGAAAAAATTACTTCCGTTAATCTGAAATAAAAATATTTGAACTTACTATTCTTTAGTGACGCATTTTCTGTGAAATATGATAATAAATTTCTCTCTGGATAGACATTCAGATGAATTTATACTTACAAATAATGAATTCATATCCTTAATTTCCAGGGGGAATAAAAACACAATAATATTAATTCCCTCAACAGTCCTTTAATTAATAAATTCTTAGGAAAATACTAGCAGTCAAATAACTAACTTTAGGTATATATTGAAATTTAATTTGTATTACGCAGACTAAATAATTTCGCCTTTACGAGTTGTGCAAAATTAGATTTAAGTACATAGCTTTCCGTTTAATGAACTACTACCAAAATAGATATTCAGTTTAGAATTCTGTGGAAATTAATTTTTGGTGCTTTCTTTGGAATGAGTTTAAATTCTATTTCCTAAACTGTTATAAATTGTTGCTAAAATATTAAATTTCATAACACAACTCATTAAATATGCCTTTTGTAATTTTTTGGCAATTATGAGTTACTTCTTTTATTGAACAATTTTAATTTTTAGCAAGAAATTATTTTGCTAAGTCATATATCATTATCATTATATCATTTTGATTAAATACATAAATCTTGATCTTATCAAAGTTCATTTCATCATCATAGTTCATCATAGCTTTCATTCACTCTTTTCGTAAAATATCTTCCTACACTTACACTTACTTTGTTTCAAAGAATGTAAAAGTTTATGCCGATATTTCCCACGGATAAGTAAATTGATAAGTTTCATTTAAATATTCAATAAAACATATCTATTTCTCATTAAATGGTGGACTGGATTACGGAAGAGCACATAAAAGCTATCTGCCTAAGATGAGAAATATCTTCATGGAGGATGTTTTAAGGGAAAGCAGCTAGTATTTACACAACACAAAAAGAAAATCAAGAAAAATGTCAAGTAGTTACCCATTCCTTGGGATATGAAAATTCATTGGGATCAAATTACCAGTGTTCAGCTTTCTATCACTCGGCCTCTGGTTGGCGCCTCTCATTGAAACATCAAATTAAGATATCGTATTAGATGACTGTAGAACATGTGACATATATAAAGGCTTTGACCAAACGGCATCTCTGATTTGAGCTTGACTGTTTGCGGGATACTGATTGCTTACGTTTGTTTATACAGCCTTTCGAAGAAGCAATTTTCAGCTAAAGTAACGAAAGCATTTGAATGTTCTTAAGGAAATTTGTTCTGTTCTTTGAAAACAGGTCAAAAGCATTGGAACAATAAACAAACAGTTGGGGCAATAGATGTACAAGAACCATATCAAGATTCAGGAGATACTTATTTGACTCGTTCCAGAATTAGAATAAAATAAAGAAGAAGTAGTTAAAACCTAGCCGACGTTGATGATAATGCCACTCTTTCCAGCGTGTCAAGTAATTTATATAGATATCGAGTATAATATAAATCGAGTCCGGTAATTTATATAAACGTTTTTCGTGTAAGAAATACAATAGTCTCTGGTCAGAAAAATAGTGATGGAGCCCACTTTGACCCTATTTTCACTTTCTCTCGAAATATCCGTTCGAATCTGCAAATGACATCAAGTTTGATTAAAAGTCTAGGATTATGAATATTGCAAGAATAGTTAAGATTTATCTTTCCCTCTAGTTACTGGAATGAAATGCGGATGGGAGCTAAAAGAATGAAATCTTTCCTCTAGTGAAAGTTTGTCTTTCCTCTAGTGAAAGTCCTCTAGTGAAAGTTTGTCAATGTTTACTCATTGTTTTAAGAAGAGGCTGAAGCATCTTAGATGGAATATTCGATTCTTTAGTGAGTTTTAATGAGAATAAAGTGAGCTTACATAGGACTGGGTTTGTCTAAATGTTGCTTGAAAGAATAAGTATATAGAGGTTGAAATGGACAGCTTAATATCTGAAGATAAATCTCATACCACATACACTGATAAGCTTGACATTAAGATTGTAAGGATCCTAAGTTTTACTAACGTTTATTTTGTTTTAAATCTTTACTATCACTTCTTATTTTCTACTTCCGGCCAGAATTAGCTTTAACTTATTTATGCAAATTTGTCTTGCGAACGCCAAGTACTTAAGTTGTGGTTTTTTAACAAGCAAGAGAGAGGAAAGAGTTATTGCAAGCCACTTGCCATAGTAGTTTTACTCGGTTGCTGGTTGCCTTTAAGGCCAGAGGTTAGTCCTCTTGATAATTTTAAACGTATCGTAGTTTAGCAGCTCTCTGTCTACATACGGATTTTTGTAAAATAACGGCCAATCTTAAAGCTAGGCACTTGGATATTAATCAAGTTAGTTTAGTAGAGTTTTAGTTAGTAGTTTTATATTCTTACCAGACCCCAAGTGGTTGGTCTCTGTATTCCGAAGTTCCGGAATCTCTGCAAAGATAGAAAATAAAGGTTTCGTATACCCTTCCTGTGTGTATTGTCTACTTCACAATTTATTGAATATAGCTTGAGTAAGCTCCCTGTTGCGAGTCAGGACAGTTCATGTTTCCAAAGCAAGTGAAGAGGAATACAAGTCCTGATAAGATCATCTCCATACCGTGAGAATACGATTGCCAAAGTGACGCAGATGGGACGTGAGATGAAGAGAATGTTATTTAATGAGTGTTTGGGATGCTGAGACATTATTTTATCGATTACGAATGCCTATAACGGGAAGTGCTGTTGATTTAAGCGAATTTGCTATAGACTGGGTTGTGAGTTTGTAGAGTTACACTTGGTCTGGTAATGTTAAATTAGGCCTATAACCGTAACAGATGTTAAGTGAATTATCGCTGTGCCTGAGAACAAAGAGCATCGAGAAGATTAACTTAACATTTTTACACAAAAATTAGACATAAAGGCACTCTCCCACAACTCATGATGATGCAAAATAAAATGCAACAGTTCAAATTAATTCAAACATGGATGAGTAGTGAAACACTACGTAACTAATTGCTATACAAGAAACTGAATTTACAGAAAGGTCAGAATTAAAATGTCAGTAGCGAATAATTACACCTACCAGAGCTAGCTGGAAACTAACACGTAGCGTGCATCCGATGTCAGAAACACACTTAAATACAAAATCATGGAGTTTAAATGCTGCCTACTTATTTGCAATTGGTGAGAAGTACGGAAAGGTAAAGTTATATTGTAAGTAACTGGTAAATTAATATAAAATTCCCTACAAGTTTTCTGAGGCTAAGAACGAGCATCTAAAAACAGAAGTGCTCTTTGGGTGTTCAATGACTGCCGTTCTTAGTGCCAACGAAAATGAGAGAAAGACGTTGAGACCGATAATGAATGCTAACCTGTAGGACTTCCACGCCTTATCGAGGAATGGAGACATCGGAGTTTGTCGCACTTTGTGAAAACAAATAGGCAAGTGCATAGTGATGCTTCGACTACAAGAACAATAATCTTGGGGTTTTGCGTTTTTGGGATAGATGATACATCGCTAACTCTGGCCATCTGTGATGGCCCAATCATGTTAACAAGGCTACGTTTTGGGCTTACCCTAAAGGTATGGATGCAATAAGTAAATAAGTAGTAATTGCAAATAAGTAGGCTGGATTCATCACCAGTCGGATTCATTCGAAGCCTTGCCACATAAAATGAAAGTCACAAAGAAAAGTAAAATTATCAGAATCAAGAAATAGAGCAGGAGAAAAAGACGCTAAAAATGGAGCTTAGTAGCAAACAGTGATTTACAGAAAGAGTAACCAAGCCTAAGACCTGCACTTCTCTATGTCCTTAGATATCATGTTTTTTTCTTCCTCCATACACATTTTTCTCGTAGTCTGCCTATTGTTTTGTTTGGATGCTGTTACGTCTAGTCAATTAGAAACATCGTGATTGCTGCTAGCTGGAATACAGATGTTGTTTCAATGTATAGATTGGGCTCGGATATTTAACTTATTTTATCAATATGTTGAAAACGCTACATTAAAGAATCTACGTACATTTAAATAATAATATTTTTGAAATTTTTCAGTGTATGAGTAGCTTGATTTTACTTAAAAACCGAGAAAAAATATATATTGAACTATCTATATAATTTTTTTAATTCATAAAATTTCTGAAATTTTAGGGTTATGAACATGATAGTGAAATTAAAAATTTTAGAATAAATTTTTGAACGAATTATCAGGTTTTTTACAAACTTTTGGGGTCTCCATCTTCTGAAACGAAATCTCAGTATGCTATATATAATATATATATATATATATATATATATATATATATGTGTGTGGGTGTGTGTGTATATGTTCAAAAGTACCTGTTGATTCCTTTCTTAAACCAGAGTTTTCTCTCACCAAACATGTGATGTGATCTTAAGTTGTACTAGTAGACTGATCCGTTTAATTCATGACATGCAGTGGTAAAAATATATGTAATGCCATGCAGTGGTATAAATATATTTCACTGGTCCTTCAACTCAGTTAGCCTTTTGAACATAATGCATCTTATAGAATCGTATTTTATTCATCGTTTACGAATCTAAGTATTTATTTTATGTAAGCAATACAAATTTCAATGAAAAATAATTATGTTCAGTAAGATTTTGTTGTATTTTAAAGTCGTCATCTTTTATCTTTGTTGTGAGCAATCTTAAAATTATCTATGATAATTTTATTATCTTCGTTGTTGAATCTAGGAAGATACTTGGAAAAATATGAAGGCTTCCGAGCAGAGTGGTCCTAATAATGCTTAAGGCTGGGCAACTGCAAAGCAGAATATATTTGAAGGAATTTGAAAAAAAAATCAAGGAGCAATGGAATGAAAAGATGCCATACTGACAAAATGTTCTTAACAAGAACCGTTTGAGTTCTGCTGCATAATTATCTCAAAATCTGTATTTTGGGAATTTATTTAAAGCTAATATTTAGGATTCGTTGCAACTGTTGAAAGAATTCCCTCATTCAAAATTTAATCAGTTAAATGGTTGAATTCGAAGCTTTCTCTGTCCATTTTTTCTTGATAGTCTGATATTTAAAAATGTCTCATGTAGTTCTTTATGTAATGTCTCACATTAATGTTTTAGAACATTAAATAAGTAAATTTAATTTTTAGATGTGATTTAAAACATACTAAAACAATTAAATGTTTTACAACCAGAAACGTTAGAAAATAACTATGTTATCGTCTGGAATCAAACCACTGATATCGATCTATTGGCTGGAAGCGCTGAGTATTACATTACTAGGACGTGCGTAAAAAGAATGCCTTAATTCCTTTCTAAATTTAATGAGGCTAACTAACTAAAATTATGAAGCATATTAATCAAACTGAGTCTCCCAATAATTTTTTTTATCTAAACTCTTATCTTTTCAGTTAACGCTAAGGCCTCAGAAAGGAAAATTAAAATTAAAATTTTTATTTACCTGATATTGCAAAGATTTGAATTCTTTCTGGGATCTGAATCTGGGATATTTTGTTATCTTTTCTTATTCTCAATTCTAAATATTCTTATTCTGAATTCTGAATATTCTTATACCTATAACTAAAATGATAATTCTTATCTTTACAGTTAACGCTAAGGCCTAAAAGAAAGGAAAATTAAAATAAATATTTTTATTTACCGATATTGCAAAGATTTCAATTTTTTTCTGGGATTTGAATCTAAGATATTTTGTTCAGGGTTAGGTAGTATGAGCTGCTCTAGTTGCCAATCAGCAGATGCCTTCTTGGGAATGAAAGGGGAGTGGATTTTATGAGTTTCATTGCATTGGTTTAACGTAATGTTTGAATATACGAGCTTAAGATTTCTTACATTACTGTGCAAACCTGAAATCAACAAATGTATATCCTGATTTATTATTTTTTTTTATCTGTTTCTCCTTTCTTTCCAGCTTTGTGTGAGACTAGTGATAAATTTCATATACGAGTACATTCATCTTCAAAAGTTATAATAATATTTCTCCTTTTGTCTTCAGGAATTATCGCATTCTTCACGTTCATAGACACAGACAACGAATTTACTCATCTGAAATTCAAAAACAGCTGCAAGGTACAACATCCAGCTGATTCATACCGTTACTTATCATAGTAAAAAAGTTCAATAGGATGTTTTTTCCGAAATTGAACTCAAAATTATATTTACTCAGGCAAAAATTGATAATAGTTATACTTTGTAGAAGACAATTGTTATAATTAACACTAACCTTCATATAACCAGTCAGGCACCCCGTTGAACACTATTCCTTCTACACCATTATTCGTGGCCGCATAGTGGGTACCGTTAACTGATGTGACGTAGTAGATATTATTCTTGTGTACGTAAACCTGAAAATGCAAGAGATAAAATATCAGAATCCTTGTAGAATGAAATGATTTTACAACAATCCAAACAGCTGCGATTTATTGGCGTAATCAGAGATTTTAGTTTACGAATAAGAATTTGATACACATTCATAAAGTAGACATTAAAAAAGTTTTTTTCCTTATTTCCAAATTTTTCATATTAGGATAGTCTGTATTTCATAAAGCCTTTTTAAATTCCCACTATTAGCTCATATTCTTCCTATACTTTGTTCAAATTTTCAATCGTTAATAAAATACTTTTTATTCATCCACTCAACTTCAAATACACCTTTTTTTATTAAACTAGTAGTGGATGACAATTGATGTTAATGCAGTTTTTTCACATATTAATGTAAAATAATCATAATTACGAACAATATACTTATGCGCAAGTAATACAAAAAAATAGTAACAAGTCATATAAAAAAATACTTTGTTGGTAGCTTGTAGGAATTGACTTATTTTTTTTTATATTACTTGTTGAATATTTAGTTTAGTCTGCATACTTTTATTCAATTACTCTACGCTTGTATAAAAAGGAATCAGACATAGCAGAACAACATATATAAAATTACAAATGGTTCTTTTTCCCAGTTATGCACCGATACCAGAGCCGCTTGTACAATGAGTAAAAGAAATATTTACGCATTTATTTTTCTGTAATTTATTTGTACTGAATATTCATATTTACAGAATGTCCTTGACGAAGTCACCCTAAACTGGATGACTTTAAGTTTTCCAAGGTAAACGAGACAGGAACAGAGAAAAGATAACATATGATTGTGTATTGATAACTTGATCCTCTTGGTCAATCGGATATTGAGATACTTGAATGATTTGAGATCGTTGAATGAGGATATTTTTTGCAAATGGTTTGATTCCTGTTTAAATGAGAAATGTTTGTTTCACTGCTTTACCGTGTGAAGCCGTCTGAGAAAGGGAAACTTTTTAAAGGCAATAAAGCTCGTGGTAGTCCCTCATTCCCAACTCGATAAATTTGATATCCTATAGTATTTTTGAGTTCCCAACTTCCGATACAAAATTATGATCATCATTCAAACACATAGAAAATTTGAGGCCTAATCACTAAGGATTTTATGCACACTTAAGTTTAAAGACTTCCAAAAGTTTTCCAGTAAAAGGCACTTGCGCCTAATGCAGAAAGGGAGTACTTTAAAGAAGAATTACACCAGCATATATAGAAAAATATTTTAAATATTACGCTGGCATTGATAATATCTTTTTGATTAAGCTTTTATTAAATACAGGATTAAATAGTATTGTTTCGTGGACAAAATATTGACGAAAAAAACGACGGGAGGGTATCTGCTACATTTGGTTCCAAACGGCCACAAAGCTTAGGGCTAGTTCCTAAGAATTTTAATGTTTCTTAATTTTTCTTTTCTTTGAGACACACCGTTGAAGAAACCTCTCCACTATAATCTGATAAAGGTACAGCCCAATTTGGCAGTTTAGTACTGGCAACAGCAGGAAAGGTTGAAGCGCATAGATTTGTTTGAAAACTAGCAACTTCAGTCGATTTTATTTTCTGCTTATTGTTTTCAAAATAACGCTTGTTACGTCCTTCCCTTTTTATAGCTAAACGAACTTTATTTATTATCTTCTTTCAATAAATATTTCTTTAATTTTTCTGCTTGTCTCTTGCGCTGTATTCTTAGTAGTTCCTAAGAATGCGTTCTTAATATTCTTAGTGCATCTTTAGTTTTAAGGGTATTTTATATTTAATTTCGTACAAACAAAATCGGTACGCATATTTCACAAGTGCACATCAGCATAGCCACTGAGGGAGGTGGAAATGGACCAATAGGCTTATATTGCTCTTGTAACGGTGAATCTTTGAAACTGGGCATATGGGCGTATGTTGTTTACGTTCTAATTTGTATTTCTTTTCCAGTCACAAATATGTGGCTAATAGAAGCAATTCTCGTAGTGCTTTCGCTTTATGAGTTTACTTAATCGCTGACATTTCACTTTATCGATTTTTATCACGCATTGATATTCGGAAGAATGGAGATAATGACTCCAGCTACAATTAGCCTCGAATATTGTGCGTTTACTAACACCTGTGGATTAAGAGAATTAAAGTATATATATATACGTATATACATATTATATTAAGCTGAGAAGGCCTGGAAGTGTTACAATGAATCTAGTATTTTCTTATTTCAATGCGTGCATGTTTTTTGTTTTTGAAAGCGTAAGATTCAAAATATATATTCTGTATGACCTGATTAAAAGGTAGTTTAAAGTTAAATCAAAATCATTTAACGGAAATTAAAAATTAATACAGAGGAACTTTGCTTACTGAAGTAAAGTTTTAAACAACAGTATGCAACTGTAGCAGCACGAAGGAAATTCCTAAAAAAACACTGAGAAACCATATTTTGATCTGTGCTTATGTACTTCAAGTTTGACATAGCATTCACAACATCAAACTAATTTTAATGAGCCATGAGTAACTCTAATTAAAATAAAATTCTATATGAAAAATGTTGGTACTTTTTAGTACAGGTATGGTTCCGCTTAAATATTAGTAACATTTTAAATTTGCATTTATTTTTAGTTTATTCTTTGCATAGTTTTTCTGTTTGCAAAATAAGCGCATTCATAATATTTTAAGTAATATCTTGAAGCCTGAATAATTAAATGGATTTCGCTTAAATGCTATTTCTTCACGCAGATGCAAAATATAGATATAATAATAATATGCAATTGTATAATTTTATTGATAATTTTTAAAATTACTCTCAATAAATTTACGCAATTGTATTTAAAACTTGTAAGGCAATTTGTATTCCAAATGTATAGAAATATATGTTTTTTCGTCTGACTGAATGTAGTAACTGAAACAAATTTTAAATAATAATTACAAATACCATTTTGCAGTCAATTACGCTTAAATACAAAATGCTACATAACTCTTATAGAACTTTTAAGAGCATACCTTTACTTTACGATATGAAGAAAGCTGACAAATGCAGTTCCTTGAAAACAGAAACCGAGACTGATCAATCGAAGTTTTGCGGAGTATCCAACATGTGGATGTATTTCTTTCTAAATTCTTTCAATAAGGTAGCGAAATCTTCACAGTTGCTTACATTTGATCTAACTTCACAATGAACCTTTTCAGAAGAAATCGACTGTGCTTTAATTATTTTGTACAGGAAATTGCGTGACAAAATGTTTCCAACCATCTTGCTTAAAGCGCGCCAAAGGGTTATTTGACATGATAGAAATATCACTGGAAGCCCATCAGTGCATCCTAGAAGCCCCTCCCTCGGTGGCTAAACAGATGTGCATTTGTGAAACATGCAATCGGTACACCCCTCCCACAGTTTCTTGCCCTCGACTCCATCCATGGAGGTAGGAAAGGAAGGAGGGGCCATTCCGCGCTAGAAGTGAAGCACTGCTTTGAAGCTTGGGTCACCAGATGGGGTGTTCTTTGTTTACATTCAGAAGCTCGCTTGACAGAGTTCTGATAGTATTTCGACACACGATAGTTTCATACAAATCGAAAAAGGGACACTTTCGCATGAAAGAAACATTCATAGTGTGATGGATAACAGCAATTTGTATAGTTTAGTGACATTTACGCAAAAATCACATCTTGGTTATTTTTCGATAACTAACAACAGCGATTTTGATTACGAATTTGTTTTGTAAAATTCTAAGCTGTTGAAGTACAAAAATGTAGATTTTAAGAAAAATGTTACTTTCGGATGTATGCTAAATTAGTGTAAATTACTTTACACTAAAAATATAGTGAATGCACAGAAATTAAATATTTGCACATGCCGGAAATGAAAAATAGGAAATATGTATGGGTATTTATGCATGTGCTTGCAAAAAGCATGTATCTGCCTTTGACAAAATACATAAATATTCATTAAATTATTTATAAATGTACTTGAAATGAAGAATTTATTCACTTATAAACAAGTATGAAAGTACTGTGAAGAAATCTAATTATTAGATGTATCTAATTTATAATGATTATAGAGGTTATCTAAATATATAATAACCTTAATATTGAATTGTAAACTATTTAAGCAAGAATTGTTCGTATTGGAAAGCAATCTGTTAAAAGGTATTGTAAAGCAAATGCTATGAGATGCGCACTTACGAACGTAATAAAGAGTTTTGGAATATGTATTGTTGAAATGAAGGGTAAAAAAATCTGATAAGTATAATTAAAAGAATTATTCCCCTTACATTTTATAATAACTCAGTTACAAGTTTTAAATAATACTTAAAAAAAAAAAAAACTTATTTTATTCCGTTTCAGAAATGTTCAGAGAAAGTCAAGTACTATTTAAAGTATTTCGCTAATTCCTAATAATTCTCTAATTTAAAATGAACCGAATAGAGCATTAATTATAAATTGACTTACATTTTTCGATTTAAAAGATGCCTCAGAAGCCAAAAAATCATGTCATATTTAAGAAAGTATTTAGGAAGAAGCTCTATAAATAGAAAAGAAATAATGCATAATTTTAATATTAATAATACAATAAACTTTGATCTTAATTTCTGTACCTTAACGGAATAAAATCGAATTACCTTAATTTTTTTCCTAATGTAATTAACGAAAACTTGTGTGAAAATATTTCATTCAAATTAAAACCATTCTGAGAAAACTGTCCTGTGAAAAGTATAGCATTTAATTCCGTTCAGAATGAAATATTGTTTAAAAATATGTTGTTTTCATATACTTAGGACTCTGAAGTGTTGTAGAAAAAGAAAATATATACATTTATATGTATATTTACGACGTAATTGCAAAATATTTACATCCGAACGCGTCAAATCCCATTGAACTCAATGGTAAATGAGCCAATGTTTTGGTCACTACGTAGGGATCGCCGGTGCTTCAGAGCAGGGTACGGGAGAAACTTGTTTAGGGCTACTCCATGACTCCATCAGAGAATTGACCGGTGTTATAGTAACATAAGTGCGTGCGC